GAGGTGGCGGCGCGGCGCGCGGTCGACCCCTCGCCCGACGCCGTGGCGCCCGTCGCGCCCGGCATCCCGAAGGTCCGCGCGCGCGGGGATGCGGAGCAGGATGAGCAGGGGGAGGAGGAGGAGGAGGCGGAGGAGGCGGAGGAGGAGGAGGAGGAGGAGGAGGAGGAGGAGGAGGAGGAGGAGGAGGAGGAGCAGTGTAACCCCAAGGCGCACCAACGATGTTTCAGTGCACCGTCCTTCCAAGTTCCCTTCTCCATAGGTCCCTGCAAGGATTGATTTTCATTTCGGGAAGTGCCCTGACGGAAAACAACCGTCTGAGAATCCTCAACCGTGTCAAAACACTGTTCCCGGGACTGCAACGCCGCGAATCAATGTGACTGTTGCGTTCTGACAAACGTGACCCGTCTCATACTGTGCCGTGATGAAAGATTGTCCCATTTTGATGGATCGGCAAAAGTGCATCCTGCGTCCGCAATGCGAGCACACATCGCTAGTCGTCCCGTTAAGGACGTGGAGCCTGGTATAATTTTACGGGGGACGTGCCTCGCTTTCGGGGCGGAGGACAACCTGGGGTTTGGTACCTTGATCAAATTTTTGTTACGCCAAACGGGATGGCGGTTCGAAACGGCAAACCGCGTGGGACATCCTCACACAGATGGCTGTCTTGACAGTTCGAACTCGGTTCGAAACAATATAATCTGGTTCGAAACAGAAGCAAAACGAGAGTTTCGCGCGGGGCTTCCCTCGAAATGCGGCGTCCGACCCGGTTCGAAACAAAAGGACGGCGGTTCGAAAACGGCAAACCGCGTGGGACATCCTCACAACAATCGCTGTCTTGTCTTGACGGTTCGAACTCGGTTCGAAGCAATATAATTTGGTTCCAAATATTTCGAACACGAGCATATCGCTTGGGACTTCCTTCAAAATACGATTGGAACCTGGCTCCGCACAGTGGGATGGCGGTTCCAAAAGGCCAACCCGCGTGTGGCGTCCTCGTCAAAATGGATTTCTTGACGGTTCCACAGCGGTTCCAAACAAGAGAAGTGGGCTCCGAACAATTGGAAAACGAGCGTTTCGCTTGAGACGTCCTCGGAAATACACGTGGAGTCTGGCCCCAAACAGGTCCCAAACAAAAGAATTGTGCGGGACATCCCCTGCAAATGGCGCGCGCCCCATTCCAAACAACGACGGCCACGGCGACGACGACGACGACCACGACGACGACCACGACGATGTGCGTTCTCGCCTCGCCTCCGGCCACGCTTGGCCGCGTCTCGGTCTGGCCCACCTCTCCCTTCAGCAAGGAGAGGCCCACGGGGCGGCGCTTCCCCCCTGCGGGAGGGGGACGCGCCGGGGGAGACAGCCACCCTTCCCAGGGGGAGATCCTGCTGTCACCCCTACACACGGACATTCAGGAGCCAAGCCGCGCGTCAGGGCTACTTTTTGCTTGTGACGCTCGTTCGGCCCCGGGCGCTATTGGAAAATCCGCATGTTTTGGATCAGTTCTCTTTCTTCCGTTCTTGTTGCCAACTTTGTTTTTTTTTGTTGTTTGACCCAGGCTCCGAGGCCCAACCCAGCAGTCACAACACAGCCTTCTAGCAGTAAATGCGCGTGTGGTCGCAACAGTCTCGATTCTTACCGCAAGTCCAATGCAAATTCATTCAGTTTGTCCTTGCTGCAACTTTCCGGACAAGCTGGAGGGAGGCGGGGTGGAAGGATGAGGCAGGAGCTTGCATTTGTCAATTTTCAGAGTTTATTGATATTGTCGTGCTTTGCGTACTTGAGCTGCTTGTCAGCAGTGGTTTTCGCTGGCAATGTGGCGTTCACAGGCGGCTGGGTGCTCGCAGTCACATGGTGCTCAGGCGTTGCTGGACTCAGGTAGTACTGATCCAGCTCCGCGGCCCAAGCCAGCATTCAAAACATGGCCTTCTAGAGGTAAGCGCGCGTGTGGTCGCAACAGTCTCGATTCCTACCGCAGATCCCATGGACATTCACCCATTTTGTCCTCACTGCAACTTTTGGGACAACTTGGAGGGAGGAGGGGTGGAAGGATGAGGGAGGAGCGTGCATCGATCAATTTTCAGGGCTTATCGATATTGTTGTGCTCTGTGTGCCTGGTGTTCACTGGCAATGTGGCGCTCACAGGCGGCAGCGTGCTCACAGGCACAGTTGTGCTCAGGCGTTACTGGTCTCAGGTAGCATTCATCCGGCTCAGTCCGAATCCAAGATGCAAATAACGATTCTCTTGGAAGAAATGCGCGTGTGGTCGCATCAGTTTCGGTTCTTATCTCAAGTCCGATGCACATTCGTCCAGTTTACCCTTGCTGAAACTTTTGGGACCATTTGGAGGGAGGCAGGGTGGAAGGGTGAGGGAGGGGCTTGGCGATGTGGTTGCCACAGGCATCTGGGTGCTCACAGTCACTGGGGGACTCAGGCGCTGCTGGGCCCAAGTAGCACTGATGGTATTTCAGTGCAACCAGCTCCACATCACAACGACACAGATAGCAGCGCCCCATGCCACAACGGAATTTGAATGCATCGTAGCCGTTACTTCGGCTATACCAACGAAGGGCAAAACTTCATTCACGCCCATGCAGTACCGTTCTTGGAACTCCAGCCATACAAATCCTTGGAACTGTTAACTGTTCAGACGAATGTTCGCGGCGCTAAGGCAATGACCACATGTTGAAAACCACTAGCCTTGCATGCTTGAAGCTGTTGCAAGTCTTTATACCACGAACGTGCGCGGCGCTAAGGCGAGAGACACAATTCGAACACTACTCCTGCATCCTTGAGACTGTGCCAACCTGTTCAGACGAATGTGCGTGGCGCTGAGGCGATAGCCACATTTTGAAAACCATCCGCCCTCCATCCGTAAGCTGCTGCAAATGTAGGCCTCAGGATCAAGCTTGGTGAGGACATCTCAGGCGAAACGCCCTGCCCGCCCTGCCGACGCGTCTCGCGGGGTGCGACAGGGAGATGCCATTCATACGGTGAAGGGCTGGAGGAGGAGTGGTGGGAGGGGAAGGGAGAGGGGGATGGGGATGGGGATGACGATGATGATGAGGATGACGATGGTGATGATGATGAAGACGATGATGATGGCGATGATGCTGATGATGCTACTGATGATGATGACGTCGATGATGATGCTGATGCTGGTGCTGATGCTGATGAGGATGCTGATGAGGACGACGACGATGCTGTTGCTGCTGCTTCTGATGCTGCTGATGATGATGCTGACGATGATGCTGATGACGATGATGATGACCGTGGTGATGATGATGATGTTGATGATGACGGTGATGGGCATGATGGTAAAGATAATGATGATCAAAATAGCGTTGCTGATGATGAGGCTGATGATGTCGATGATGATGGTGATGATGGTGATGATCACAATGTTGTTGATGCTGATGATGATGATGATGCTGATGCTGAAGACGATGCTGATGATTATGCTGAAGCTGGTGCTGATGCTGATGAAGATTCTGACGAACATGACGGCGATGCTGCTGATGAGGATGATGACGATGATGATGCCGATGATGACGACGACGACGACGATGATGATGATGATGATGATGATGATGATGATGATGATGATGATGATGATGATGATGATGATGATGATGATGATACCGATGGTAATGCTGCTGATGATGCTGCTGATGATGCTGCTGATGATGATGAGGCTGGTGATGATAGTGATGATGAGGATGCTGCTGATGATGATCATGCTGATTCTGATGATGCCGATGATGATGATGATGATGATGATGATGATGATGCTGATGATGATGATGACGATGACGAGGCTTGGGATGATGATGATGATGATGATGCTGATGACTATGATGCTTATGCTGATGATGATGGTGATGTTGATGCTGCTGATACAGATGATGGTGATGCTGACGATGATATCGATGATAACGATGGATATGATGATGGTGCTGCTGCTGCTGATGATGATGGTGATCATGCTGATGATGCCGATGATGATGATGATGATGATGATGCTGCTGCTGATGATGATGATGCTGACTCTGATGCTGATGCTGATGCTGCTGCTGCTGATAATGATGATGATGATGGTGGTGGTGATGATGATGATGACTATGATGATGATGATGATGCTGATGCTGATCCTGATGATGATGACGATGCTGATGATGATGGTGATGGTGATGATGCTGATGATGATGAATATGGTGATGATGCTGATGCTCATGCTGCTGATGATGATGCGGATGACTCTGATGATGATGATGACGATGATGAGGCTGGGGATTATGATTATGATGCTGATGCTTATGCTGATGATGATGATGCCGATTCTGATGATTATGATGATGCTGATGCTGATGATGATGTTGCTGATGCTGCTGATGATGGCGATGATGGCGGTGATGATGGTGACGATGCCAGTGATGATTACGCTGATGCTGCTGATGCTGATGCTGATGATGCTGCTGCTTCTGATGATGATGATGATGAGGCTGATACTGATGATGGTGATGCTGATGATGATGGTGATGCTGATGATGGTGACGCTGCTGCTGATGATGATGACTATGCGGCGCTGATGCTGATGATACTGCTGATGATGATAATGCGGATGATGATGATGATGATGACGTTGCTGATGATGATGAAGGTGGTGATGATGATGCGGATGCTGATCCCGATGATGATGATGACGATGCTGATGATGATGGTGGTGATGATACTGATGCTGATGATGCTGATGATGCTGCTGATGATGATGCTGATGCTGATGCTGATGCTGATGATGATGCTAATGCTGATACGGATGCTGATGCTGATGCTGCTGCTGATGATGCTGCTGCTGATGATCATGATGCTGATTCTGCGGATGATGATGATGGTGATGATGGTGATGATGAAGATGATAGTGCTCATGATGCTGATGATGATTCGGATGTTGACGATGATGCTGAGGCTTGGGATGATAATTATGATGAGTATGATACTTATGCTGATGATGATGCTGCTGCTGATGATGATGCTGACGATGCTGGTGGTGGTGATGATGCGGATGCTGCTGATGATGATGCTGATGGTGATGATGATCCTGATTATGGTGATGATGCTTCTGATGCTGCTGATGGTGATGATGCTGAGGGTGATGATCATGGTGATGCTGATGATGATGATGCGTATGATGATGTTGATGCCGATGATGATGATGCTGATGCTGGTAATGATGCCGATGATGATGATGATGAGCATGAGGATGATGATGATGATGCTGATGACGATGATGCTGATGCTGATGATTATGATGATGATACTGCTGATCATGATGCTGATACTGATGATGATGATGCTGATGATGATGCTGATGATGCTGGTGCTGATGATGATGCTGCTGATGATGATGCTGGTGATGATGCTAATGGTGATGACGATGATGATGATGATGATGATGATGATGATGATGATGATGATGATGATGATGATGATGATGATGATGATGATGATGAATGATGATGATGATGATGATGATGATGATGATGATGATGATGATGATGATGATGATGATACTGATGACTATGATTATGATGGTGGTGGTGGCGATGATGATGATGCTGATGGTGTTGTTGTTCTTGGTGATGATGATGATTATTCTGATGTTGCTGATGATGATGAAGATGGTGAGGAGGAGGAGAAGGAATAACACTAATAATACGAGTGAGAAGGAGACGAATCCACATCTTAATACTGAGAGGGCTTATGCTAATAGTAATAACAATACTACTAACACTAAGATGCAGAGGACTACGAATCCTAATACTAAGAAGAACAAGACTAAGTAGACAAATAAGAATAGTAATACCCATACCAATACCAACATTAATAATACTAAACGAATAAGAAGAGTAATACTAATAATGCGACGACGAATCATAATAATATATCGAAGACGGAGAAGTCAATCATACTAATCATCATATTCATACACTAATAATGGAAATAATACTAATACTAATAATACTAATGATAATACTAAAAGTAATAAGAATAAGAAAACGACGAAACATATGAAGACTGAGACGACGAGGCGGAGGAGAAGGGGGCGGAGAAGGAGGAGGAGGAGGAGGAGGAGGAGGAGCAGGAGTCGAGGAGGAGGGAGGGGGGGAGGGAGGGAGGGAGGGAGGGAGGGAGGGAGGCAGGGAAGGAGGAGGAGGAGGAGGAGGAGGAGGAGAAGGAGGAGGAGGAGGAGGAGGAGTCTCGAAGGTGCTCGTCATAGTGCGTGTTGAATGCGAGTTTGTGGACGATTTTCGTGTGGTTCGTTGTCGTTGAGGTGTTCGGAAGTTCTCGGGACTCCAGGGGCATTGCGTCAGCCGCGCCTCGTCGAGGGCTTCCCGGGGTTGCCAGAATCGTCCCGAACGGCCGCATCGTCGCCACGGCTGTATTTTTTAACAAGATATATGCATAGTTAAACCATACTCTAGCGAAGGACCCAACCATGAGCAGTTGTGGATACCGCGTTCTGGGTCCATCTATCGATGAGCATCCCTTATGTGACCACGGGCCGTAAATGCAATCGGCGGCCCGCAGCGGGAAGAGGAAATTCAGAAGGAGCGCACGGAGCGCCCGCATCCTCACTCCGATTCCTCTCCTCGTCCTCCTCCTTCCTCCGTCCTCCCTCCGACGACGACGATGACGACGACTACGACGACTACGACGTTGCCGACGACGACGACGATGACTTCGATTCCACTCCGACTACGACGACGACGACCGCCACGAACGCCTTCAGGCGAGGCTTCTCTCAACAACTGGGGAGACGGATTCGCGGTAACCCCTCCGGGATGACAGCTGAAAAAGTGCGTAGTGCTGGGCACATGCCTGACCACCCAATCGATTTGCCTTGGCCTCTACAGGGGTGTGCCGAAATGAGTGGCTGGGTGGCATGTGGACGCAGCGACTGGGGCCTTCGGTGGAGCTCCCTATGGGGCCACGAACTGTGTGAGGGGGTGCACTGGGGCCTTCGGTGAAGCTCCTTATGGGGCCACGAATCGTGTGAGGGATGTGCCAGAATGGACATGCGGTGGGCGGGGAGGGCGCATGCGGACGCGGCCACTGGGGCCTTCGGTGGAGCGCCCTATGGGGCCACGAACCGTGTGAGGGGTGTTCCAGAATGGACATGCGGTGGGCGGGGAGGGCGCGTGCGGACGCGGCCATTGGGGCCTTCGGTGGAGCTCCCTATGGGGCCACGAGCCGTGTGAGGGGTGTGCCGAAATTGACATGCGGAGGGCAGAGGAAAGGAGGGGGAGGAGGGAGGATGGGGAGGAGGACGAGGAGGAGGGGAGAAGGAAGGATGAGGAACGCGGGGCGCTGTCTCTTCAAAGCGAGGACCCAACACAGGGTGGTTTGAAAAAAACAAGCGCGCGAGAGCCGTTTGCGCATGAGTTGTTGTCTTTCCTGGCTATAGGCGCTTCTTGTTGCTCTTTCGTGGTCGCTAGTAGGTGCTGGTAGGCGCCAGTAGATACCCTGCGGCGCCAATCGCCGCTGGCAGGCGATGCTAGGCGCTTTCCAGCAGATTTCGTAGAGGCCGAGCTTAGAGGGTAGGCAGTTGGCACCCGCACGTGGGTCGAGCTAAAGAGGGCGATGTCGTACATATTACTCTTGCGCAGACGCACTACGACAGTGCTGCGCAGTCGCCTCCTGGCTGCTTCGGTCCCACCCTGCAGCGCCCTCGTGGCGTTCCACGCAGGCCGCTGTCGCATGCGTAGTCGCAGTCGCTGGTAGAGACACTGGCAGGCACTGAGAGTCGGCTGCGCGGCTCTCGCGGGGCGCTGCTTGTGGCCAAGCTTAAGCATGCAGGCTGGCGCTGCCGCAACGCATGCCACGGCCGGCAAGCCGCGCACCAAAGGTCACCCTTGCCTAGGGCCACTCGCACGTGTAGCCGAAGTGGGCGCCAGTCGGGCAGAGCCTGTCTTGAAACCACTCGCGCACATCATGCGCACAGCGGACGGGCCGGCGACCTACGGCGGTCCTCTCCGGCCGGGGAGCCCCTGCCTCGGGGGGGGGCGGGCGGCCGAGAGCAACGACGGCCCCTCCCCCTCCTCGTTCTCCTCCTGCACCTCGTGCTCCTTCTGCTCCCTGCTATTCCTCCTCGACCTCCTCCTCCTCGTCCGCCTCCTCGTCCGACCTCTTCGTCCTCCTCGTCCTCGTAGTCGTCCTCCCCAGCCTGGGAATGAACAGTTCTCCTTCGGTGGGCCCCCCTCCGTTCCCCCCCGCTCTCTCCCCTTGTCTCTTCCCTCTATGGGCGGCTAACCTCGTCGTCGTCCTCCTCCTCCTCTTCCCCCTCGTCCTCCTCCTCCTCCTCCTCCTCCTCCTCCTCCTCTTCCTCCTCCATCTCCATCTCCATCTTCTCCTCTCCTCCTCCTCCTCCTCCTCCTCCTCCTCCTCCTCCTCCTCCCCCAATGCCAAGGTCGGTGAGACGCTGGAGGGCAGGGTGGCTTACAGGACTGGCGGCGCGCTCGATGGGGGCAGGGTGAGGGTGTTGGCCTCCCAAGGAGGCAGGAAGGGGAGGAGGAGGAGAAGGAGGAGGAGGAGGAGGAGGAGGAGGAGGAGAAGGGTGGAGGAGGAGGAGGAGGGGAGGAGGAGGAGGAGGAGAGGAGGAGGAAGGAGGAGGAGGAGGAGAGGAGGAGGAGGAGGAGGAGGAGGAGGAGGAGGGAGGAGGAGGAGGAGGAGGAGGAGGAGGAGAGGAGGAAGGAGTTGGAGGAGGAGGAGGAGGAGGCTCCAGGGAGGAGGAGGAGGAGGCTCCAGGAAGGAGGAGGAGGAGTAGGAAAAGGAGGAGGATGAGCAGGAGGAGGAGGAGGAGGAGGAGGAGGAGGAAGAGGAGGAGGAGGAGAAGGAGGAGGAGGAGGATGGAGGAGGATGGAGGAGGAGGAGGGGGAGGAGGAGGGTTTCAGGTTAGACGCCCGAAGAGGGTAAGGCCATTTTGAAGTAGGGGGGCTGCTCCTATTCGGAGCCCGACCTGTCAGTGTCACGCCCACCGCCTGAAGCTCGGACCTCTCCCTCTCTCTATCTGTATATGTATATGGTCAATGTGTTAGGTATATGTATACGTACATGTATATGTCGATGTCTATGTATATGTAGGTGTAATTGTATACGTATATACATAGGTTTAGGTACACGCATCGGTATATGTATATGTAGTTATAGATGCATATGTCCATGTGTATGTGTATGTGTATGTACCTAATTTTGCGCATGAATTTGCACATGCACATGTATGTAGCATGTATGTGTGTATGTACATGTATGTGTACATGTATCCGTACATGTATATGTATATGTATATGTAATGGCGTATTTGTAGATATGTGTATAAGTATATGTCGACGTGCATTTACATTTACCTATACATACATAATTTTTCATGTGTATGTCTATGCATATGACCATCCATGTGTACTGTATATGTAATATGTGTGTATGCGTCTATGCATATGTGTATGTGTGTGTGTGTGTTTGTAAGGCTCGCCACTTGTACTTGTGTTTGTGAACGTATACGTATACGTTAATGCAACTGTGTATGTATATGTGTATCCATGCGTCCATGTACGTGTATATGTGTGATTTTAGGTTTACGCATACATGCATGACTACATATTTCTATGCATATGCATACGTATACACACATACGTGTATTTGCTTCATGCATATGTATGTGTATGTGTACTTGTGTCCCTATATATAGACGTATACGTATATGTACACGTATATGTACATGTACATGTATTGTATACGTACATGTACACACATATATATATATATGCATGCATGCATACATCCAGATCTATGTGAACACACATTTATATACATCTACATGCACATGCTTTTCTACATGTATAGGTATATGTACATGCGTGTGTGTATGTAGGTGTATCATATATATATATATATATATATGTACGTGTGTGTTTTTCCCTACCTAGGCTCTGCCTAGAGGGTTCTTACTCTCTTAGCTTAAAGGGGCCGGGCAGTGTAAAGCGCCCCGGGCGGTTCCCCCAGTCCCCGCCCCGCGGTTCCCCCAGTCCCCTGGGAGCTTTAGCCTTCGCTTTAGCTTTAGCTTAGCTTTCGCTTTAGCTTTAGCTTAGCTTTAGCTTAGCTTTAGCTTAGCTTTAGCTTAGCTTTAGCTTAGCTTTAGCTTAGCTTTAGCTCAGTGTTAGCTTAGCTTCAGCTCAGTGTTAGCTTAGCTTTAGCTTAGCTTTAGCTTAGCTTTAGCTTAGCTTTAGCTTAGCCTCAGCTTAGTGTGAGCTTAGCTTTAGCTTAGTGTTAGCTTAGCTTTAGCTTAGCTTCAGCTTAGCTTTAGCTTAGCTTTAGCTTAGCTTTAGCTTAGCTTTAGCTTAGCTTTAGCTTAGCTTTAGCTTAGCTTCAGCTTAGCTTTAGCTTAGCTTTAGCTTAGCTTTAGCTTAGCTTTAGTGTAGCTTTAGCTTAGCTTTAGCTTAGCTTCAGCTTAGTGTCAGCTTAGCTTTAGCTTAGCTTGAGCTTAGCTTTAGCTTAGCTTTAGCTTAGCTTTAGCTTAGCTTCAGCTTAGCTTTAGCTTTAGCTTTAGCTTAGCTTTAGCTTAGCTTTAGCTTAGCTTCAGCTTAGCTTCAGCTTAGTGTTAGCTTAGCTTTAGCTTAGCTTCAGCTTAGCTTTAGCTTTGCTTTAGCTTAGTGTTAGCTTAGCCTTAGCTTAGCTTTAGCTTAGCTTTAGCTTAGCTTGAGCTTAGCTTTAGCTTAGCTTCAGCTTAGTGTTAGCTTAGCTTTAGCTTAGCTTCAGCTTAGCTTTAGCTTAGCTTCAGCTTAGTGTTAGCTATCTTTAGCTTAGCTTTAGTTTAGCATTAGCTTAGCTTTAGCTTAGCTTTGGCTTAGCTTTAGCTTAGCTTTAGCTTAGCTTTATCTTAGCTTTATCTTAGCTTTATCTTAGCCTTAGCTCAGCTTTAGCTTAGCTTTAGCTTAGCTTCAGCTTAGTGTCAGCTTAGCTTTAGCTTAGCTTTAGCTTAGCTTCAGCTTAGCCTTAGCTTAGCTTTAGCTTAGCTTTCGCTTAACTTCAGCTTAGCTTTAGCTTAGCTTTAGCTTAGCTTTAGCTTAGCTTTAGCTTAGCTTTAGCTTAGCTTTAGCTTTAGCTTTATCTTAGCTTTAGCTTAGCTTTAGCTTAGCTTTAGCTTAGCTTCAGCTTAGCTTTAGCTCAGCTTTAGCTTAGTGCTAGCTTAGCCTTAGCTTAGCTTTAGCTTAGCTTTAGCTTAGCTTTTAGCTTTAGCTTAGCTTCAGCTTTAGCTTAGCTAGCTTAGCTTTAGCTTAGCTTTAGCTTAGCTTTAGCTTAGCTTTAGCTTAGCTTTAGCTTAGCTTTAGCTTAGCTTTAGCTGAGCTTTACTGTTACTACTAATGCTGCTTTCCTAGGGGCTCCAACTCCTAGGTAGGGTCGCACTGGGCTAATCTCTCTCTCTCTCTATATATATGTATGTATTCATATATTTACATGATTGTATTTGTTTGGTATGTATGTATGCAGTCGTCCATGTATTTGTATTTGCATATGCATATTCACCTTGTATGTTTATGTACATCTCTGAAATTGCGTTTTTGGGGTACGGCAGTGGAGCTATACTGGAAAGCGGGCGATATTGTCGACCGATTTGTTGCTTTCATATGCCAGCCTGAACAGGGACGGCCTCTGGGGAGAAGTGTGTGCGGGGCTCCCCTCTTCTTGCCTGGACGGCGGAGAAAGCTGCCGCCCTCACTTCTTGAAGCCGTCCGTCGGCCGCAGAAGTGGTAACCCTTTCCTTCCCCTGGTGGTGGAGAAAGCCACCACCTTGAGTTCTGGGATTCGTCCGTCGACAGCTTCCTGGTGAGATGGACGTGGCAAGACTTCTGCCTCCTATCTTCGGGGGTTGCTGAAGGGGCTCCGGAGGCCGTGGGGGGCTCCTCGGAAGTCCTGGGGGCACCTTGGGCCAGGCGCACTTCTGGCAACACCCGACCCCTCGGCAGGCGGGGCCCTGCCCCTCAGGAGAGCCCCGCGCCCCTCGGGGGGAGGAGGAGGAGGCGGAGGCGGAGGAGGAGGGAGGGGGGAGGAGCAGGAGGAGGAGGAGGAGGAGGAGGTGAGGAGGAGAGAGGAGGAGGAGGGGAGAGGCGGATGAGGAGGAGGAGGCGGAGGAGGAGGAGGAGGAGGAGGAGAGCCCCGCGCCCCTCGGGGGAAGGAGGCCAGGGCAGCATGCCCGCTTCAGCTCCACCGATCGGACTCGAGGTCGGTTTCTCTTCCAGCCCAGCCCGGCTCGATCCCGATGCCCTGGCGATCCGCCGGGGCCCGCCGCGTGCACGACGACGCTGCGCGTCCTGGCTCGGCGGGCCCGCTCCCGTGCTCTGACTCTGGGCCGAGGCGGCTCGCTTCGACGCACGCTCTGATGGGCCTGTTTTCCACCACCGCCACCATAAGTTGGAGGGGGAGGGTGTCCTCCTCCTCCTCCTCCTCCTCCTTGTCCTCCTCCTCCTCCTCCTCCTCCTCCTCCTCCTTGTCCTCCAGGTCCTCCTCCTCCTCCTCCTCCTCCTCATCCTCCTTCTCCTTGCCCCCTCCACCTGATGTTGGTGGCAGTGGAAAACAGGCCCATCACGTTCCGCTTCGATCCGGCTTCCCGATGCGATGCTGGCCGATCCTGCCCAGAGGTCCCCACATATCGGGCGTCTCGAAGAGATCGAGGCGGAGGTGTTCCGTCGTTTTCGATTTCTTGGGACCTCGCCGGGCTTCGGGGCCGTCAACGGAACGACTCGGGACGGAAGGCCGGTTCTGGGGACGTGGTCTCGAAAAGCTCGAAACGTCGGATGTCTGGGTCTGGACCCCCTCCCCGCGACCAGTCGCCACCCTGGGCCGTTTCCTGCTGGCCCCAGGGCCCTCACCAGGCTAGGGCCCCCGGAGGCAGAGAATTGCCCCCCTCCGTTCTCACCTCTGGGCCTCCTGGGTGGGATCGGAGTAGATGGGGTCAGAGGATCGCTCCGCATCGCCGATGCATCGGCGATGCGGCTCGACGTGGAGCTCGATGTCCTTCACGTCGTCGTCTCCGATGCATCGCCCACGTCGACGGTGCATCGCCAGTGCATCGCCGATGCGTCGCCGATGTATCGCCGATGCATCGCCGATGTATCGGCGATGCGGCTCGATCCTCCGGCCCCATCTACTCCGACCCCATCTAGGAGGCCTCAATCACCACGCGTTTCTGTTCTGCGTGCCTTCTTATTTTCTGCTCTTGGCCTGCTGTGACCACGACGCCCCGACCCCTCGCGCCGCGCCCTCCCGCAGGAACCGCTTCGGCACCTGGATCGACGTCGGCCTCGAGCGGGACGGGCTCGTCGGCACGCAGGCGACGTGGAGCCTCGAGCTCAACCAGACGGTGAGCGTCAGGGTCGAGCGGGCGGAGGGCCGGCGCTTCTGGGTCTCCGTGCCGGGGCTGCCCGAGCGGCGGCGGTTCGAGGACCTGCGCGTGGGCGACAGGCTGGAGGGCCAGCTGGCGAGGAAGACGCCCGTGGGCGTCTGGCTCGACGTGGGCGTCGACAGGCAGGCGTTCGTCTTCGCGGCGAAGCACGTGGCCTGGAAGGGCCTCGAGTACAGGAGGGACCTGGTCACGACGGTCGAGAAGATCGACGGCGACCGCTTTTGGGTCTCGGTCGAGGGGCTGCCCAAGTGCAGGCTGTCAAGCGACCTGAGAGTAGGCGAGTCGCTGGACGGCAAGGTCGTCTGGAAGTCGGCGGAGGGCGTCCGAGTCGACGTCGGCTGTGAGCTTGAGGCCAAGGTCTTCGCACCCAGGCAGACTGCGCTAGACATGCTCGAGGTAGGGCAGCCCGTGAGGGCGACCTACGAGAACGGCGACTCTCGCTCGATCTGGGTGTCCGTGGAGGGGGTGCCCAAGGCGAGGTGTCTACTTAGAGACCTGAAGGTCGGCGAGTCGCTGGATGGCACAGTTACCGTTAAGAAGCAAGAAGGTGTCTACGTCGACGTCGGCTGCGAGAAAGAGGCACGCGTCCTCGCACCCAGGAGGAGGGCGCTGGGAAATCTCGAGATCGGCGAGGCGGTGAAAGCGACGGTCCAGCGCACGTCGAGCAGCGGGACGTGGGTGTCTCTGAGCAATCTGCCCGTGGTGAGGATGATCGATGATTTGAAAGAGGGCGAGGTGATCGAGGCCAAGGTCTCGCACGTAACGAAGGACGGCGCCTACGTCGACGTTGGCACCACGGCGATGGCGCGCGTGCTCGCACCGAGGGACGCGTCGCTCGACAGTCTGCGGCCCGAGCAGACTGTGATTGCGACAATCGAGAAGGTAAGATCCGATTCCAGACGCTCCGCGCTCATCGCTTGCACTGTCCAGCTCTCGCCCCAGGAGAGCCCAAGGACGGCCCCACGATGGACCGAAGGCATGTCGGCAGGAGTCAGGCCGGCCCTGCAGGAGGCCAGCTATGGCTCCAAGATGCCCCAAAATCGCCCCAAGACGGGCGGGAGACCGTCCACGAGGGCTCCGAAATGGGCTAAAAAAGGGGCCATCCCAGGCTGCCCAGGGAGTATCCCCAAGAAGGGCTCTGGCCCAGGGGGTCTTCTTTTATGGCCCTAGACAGTAGGGGGTGTCGAGCAGCGGTCGGGGAAATCTTTGTACGTCGAACGACCTGCACGACGGGGGTAACGAATATGCGTCTGACCCTTGGTCTTGTCCACTCTGTAGGCCAGAGGGGTATCCAACACGCGTGTGGCATGCGCTTTCACGCAGGATCAGCTGCCGCACGCGTCTGGCCCGCCTGTGTCCCCGCGAGGGCTCCTGCCCAGTGCTCTCTCGCGAGCTGTCGGGCCTCCCTGACCCCAGACCGGAGGAGCGCTCCGCGAGTGAACTCTTCACGCTGCCAGACGCCCGACGATGTGACTTTTTTCGGCCCGCGAAGGGCTGAAATGAGAGAGAGCCGTTGGGAAAGGAAAAGTCATACAGACAATCCGCATAGCAAGGATGATCGACATCCCCAGTACACACTTGCATCCTTGCCTCTTCGGTCATCTTCGGCTCATCCTCAACCACTTTGGATGGCCAGCCCCGCTCGAAGAACCTCGGCATGGGCGTCCAAGGCCCTTGCATCCTTACCGCTCGGAGGGAGGAGAGGCGACACCAACACCGCCAGGCGGCCCACCTCCAGCGAGGAGGTCCACGGCGCCCCCCCGAGCTGGAGGCTGGGGACGTCTCGAGCGAGGAGGGGGGGACCACACCACCAGGGAGACCCCCCTCGCCTCCTCGGACCCCCTCGTCCTGGTGGTGTTGGTGTCGCCTTTCCTTGCTCCTGCACCGCACATCCTCCCTGCACGGCTTGGCTGCAGCGTCGAAGGTCTGGGCGGCACGGGGTCGGACCGGCGTCGGATTGGAGTCGGATCGGCGCCAGGCACGGAGTCGGCGTCGGAGCGGATCGGATTAGCACTAGCGCTGCGCGAGCATCGGGCAGCATCGGGCCAGCGCTGACCGGCAGATCGAACTGGTCGAGCCCAGCGATGCTCAAGGCAGGTCGAGTCGGATCGGACAGATCGAATCGGAAGGGGCCCTGGGGGCCCCCATCGCCGCGGCTCAGGGGCGCCTGGAGTGGCGCCCTTGACCTGCCGCTGGGGATTGGTGTCGCTCTTTTTTGTTGTTGTTGATGCTTTGTTTTTCCCTGGAGGAGGAGGATGAGGAGGAGAAGGGATGAGGATGAGGATGAGGATGAGGATGGTGATGGTGATGGTGATGGTGATGGTGATGATGATGATGATGATGATTATGATGATGATGAGGATTATGAGGATTATGACGATGATGGTGATTATGATGAGGAGGAGGAAGAGGAGGAGGGGGAGGAGGAGGAGAGGAATGATGATGATGATGATGATGATGATGATGATGATGATGATGATGCTGATGCTGATGCTGATGCTGATGATGCTGATGCTGATGCTGATGCTGATGCTGATGCTGATGCTGATGATGATGATGATGATGATGATGATGAGTGATGATAATGAATGACTGATGATGATGATGGATATGATGTTGGAAATGATGATGGATGATGATGATGATGATGATGATGATGATGATGATGATGATGAATGATGATGATGATGAGAAAGGGGAGAGGACATGAGAGGAGGGAGGGGAGGGGGAGGGGAGTAGGAGTAGGAGGGAAATTGAAAGGAGGCGGAGCGGGGAGGAGGAGGAGGAGGAGGGGGAGGAGGAGCTCTGTCTCTCCCCCTGGCGTCGGGCGGCGGCGGCGAGGAGGGGGAGAGGCAGGATCGACCAGCACGGGAGGCATTCGAGCCCGCCATGCGCCCGCGGGGCCCGTGGACAAGGTCTGGGAAACAGCGCAGGCTGGCACATTCGAGGCGGGGGCTCACACAGAACCGCCGCCTGGAGGATCGATTGTCGCGGACCTCCATGGGCGGGGGATGTGGATTTGTTCTGGCGCGGGAGCCTTGAGACGGGGTCAATGCAAACGGGGGTCAGCCAGGGCGCCCGGTCTTGCAGGATCCTGCAGGGGCCAGGGTCGCGCTGACCCGGGTTTGGGCGCAGGATCCTGCAGCATCTTGCAGGATCCTTCGCGTTGACCCGGGTTTGGGTGCCTGATTTTGCAGGATTTTGCAGGACTCTGCAAGGCCCGACTCACCCAGGTTTGGATTGATCCGGGTCAGAAGATCCCCGATGGGCTTTTGAGGGCCACAAAATGCGCCCATATCCACCGCCCGCCGGACCACCAGGGCGTCGGCTCCCAGGCGGCGGGTGCGGCTAAGTCCCCGCCTCGCACGGCAGACACTCCCAGGCCCCGCCTGCGCCGAGCGGTATCCCGTGTCGTGGCGCCAACATCTCAGGAGGGGAACAAATTATCCCAGAGCGACCCTACCTAGGAGTTGGAGCCCCGAGGAGAGCAACGCTAGTAGTAACGCTGCTCGCGGCTCCTGCAAGAGCTGCAGGCTGTTCAGCACTGCTTGCGGGGGCTCCGGTCCGGCCATCGAGGCTAGCTCGGTACCTGTCGCGCATTGCTTTTGCTTTGCCTTTCTTTTGCTTTACTTTTGCTTTTGCTTTGCTTTGCTTCGCGTTGCTTGTGCTTTGCTTTGCTGTTGCTGCTGTTGCTTTGCCTTTGCTTTGATGCTATGCTATGCTATGCTATGCTGCGCTATGCTATGCTATGCTATGATATGCTGCGCTATGCTGCGCTATGCTATGCTATACTATGCTTGGGTGTGCTAGGCTGCGCTATGCTATGCTAGGCTATGCTATGCTATGCTATGCTGCGCTATGCTATGCTATGCTATGCTATGTTGCGCTATGACATGCTATGCTATGCTTTGCTGCGCTATGCTATGCAATGCTAGGTTATGCTATGTTATGCCAAGCTGCGCTATGCAATGCTATGCCATGCTATGCCATGCTATGCAGCGCTATGCTATGCTATGCTATGCTATGCTATGCTGTGCTATGCGATGCTATGCTATGCTATGTCATTCTACGCTATGCTGTGCTGCGCTATGCTATGCAGCGCCATGCTATGCTATGCCATGCTATGCTATTCTATGCTAATGCCATGCTATGCTATGCTCTGCTATGCTATACTAATGCTAATGCTAATGCTAATGCTAATGCTAATGCTAATGCTAATGCTAATGCTAATGCTAATGCTAATGCTGCGCTAAGCTAAGCTAAGCTAGGCTAGGCTAAGCTAAGCTAAGCTAAACTAGGCTAGGAACCGCGGGGCGGATACTGGGGGTACCGCCTGGGGCGAGGACCACTGCCCGGCCCTTTAAGCATACAGGGTAAGAACCTTTCTAGGCAGAGCCCAGGTAGGGAACATAGACACAATCAATCGTCGACTCCCTGGAAAATATGGGAAAATATGGGAAGTGGGGGGGTAGGTAGACAAAAAACCCAAAAATATGGGAACATATGGGGAATCCTGTAATTTGTGTGTATTTATTTGTGTGTCCCAGGGCCCCTTCAACATCGCAGAGCGGATGTCGTTCGGAAAACGATAGGATGGGCCCGGATCGTCCTGGAGAATTTCGTTCCAGATTTCGAGGTGAGATTCGTGCGGATTTCTTTTTTGGCCAGGATTGAAGACTAGAACGAATCCACGCGGGATTCCCTTCGTTTTTCACTCGCCGTTTTGGGGTTTTGCGTTGGCAGAAATCCGCACAAACCCGCTGCAGCACGTCTGCGAGGTCGGTGCAGTGACCTGTGGGGGCGGACGGGGGGGGGCCAGGCCGGGTGACGGTCGCCACGCCGAACAGAGGGCAGCACGCGCTCCAGCATAGTCGAGCTTGGCTTGCCTCGGCGGCGCGCACGAGGGGAAGGCCGGCGTGAGAGGGGTGCTCCTTAGAAGCCCCTCGGCCCTGCTGTGAAGGCCCCCGTCTTCAGCCCCCGCCTTCTTCGAGTGTCGCCCCCCTCGCCACGTGGCAGCGGCACGTGGCTGCTGCGCGCAGACGTTCGGGTTGACCCAAAAGGGGGTCCAGCAACAAGGGGGTGGTGCAACAGATTAGCTGCCATAGGTTTGTGGGGTTGCAATACTTTTGGGGCGTGCAATGCATTCTGGGGCGCAGATGTATTGCTGGACTTTCGCGTGCAATGCATTACTTGAAATACGATGCAATGCAATTCTCCGGTGCAAATTGCAATACATTTGCCCCAAATCTATTGCACCACCCCTTTTCAGCTGGACCCCCTTTTGGGTCACCCAAAGACGTGCACGGCCGTGCACAGGCGTAGCTCCGTTGCGCGCAGACGTGCGGTGCTGCACAGGCGTACCCGCCGCTGATCCACGCGCCTGAGTCCATGTCAGCGTTCCTCCTCCTCCTCCTCCTCCGCCTCTGCCTCCGCCCCACCCTCCTCGTGCGCGCCGCAAGTTCCCCGCTGCAGTGTCCCAGCGGCGTGCCGCGGGCCACGTCTTTAGGCTGCTTCAAGCGGTGAGGAGGGAGAGTGCCAATTCTTCGGAGGCTTTGATGTTGACACCAGTACCACCATCGGCGGTGCGCTTCCACCGAGGGAAGATGATCCTGATCTCGTTGATGGTGGTCATATTCGGGCTTCCTAGGTGGCCGGAAAATTACCACCAACATCAAAATCCAGGATCAACTTCCTCCCGTGGAGGCAAGCCCTGGTGTTGGTGTTGGGCGATTCCGAGCTTACCCGCGAGGCATTACGGGGTCTAGGCCAGCGCTTGATAGCTCAAGGAGGACACGAAACTCACCACCCACCAAGCCACCCTAACCCAACCCACCCGACGGCCTCAGTTTGCCCTCCATTTTCAATGGGGGGGTCGGGGAACATGGACAAAAACACTTGGAACCCGTACGCCCCAATCCGTAATTTGGGTCTTGGGGTGGTCTGGTAGGTAGTCATAAAAACGGCCCAATAATGACCACGACGATAGCGGGCGCCCGCAGGGGCACGCTCTGTGGTGGCACCTGCGTGTGCGTGCGCTGCTGAGGCTGAGCGCGCCCGCGACCCAGGATGTGATGCCTGGCTGCGATTGCGGGTGCGGTTACGGTTGCGGGTGCGGTTTTGGATTCGGTTGCGCGCGCCCGCGGCCCCGGATGTGTTGCCTGGGTTGCCGCTGCCGCCGCGGTTGAGCGCTGCGGGCGCGCGCGCGACCCGAAGTTTGCCGCCGGGATGCGGCGACGGATGCCTGCGGCCCAAAATGTGCTGCCCGGTTGCGGCTGCGGCCATGGCTGCCGGTGCGATCGTCCGAGACGGTGCTGCCCGCTTGCGGTTGGTGGTGGTGCAAACCAACAGCGGCCGCTGTTGGGCAGGCGGCCTTCTGTCTCAAATGGACACAGGCCGCGGCGACACCGACAGCGAGTCCTTTTCAGAACGAACAGGGGCTGCTGTTGGGCATTGTACCCGTTCTTTCCGTACCCATTTCGGGCGCCCACAGGTCGGTCGGTCGCTTGGCGGGCACGGGCTTTCGCCCGGCGCCGACCGGAAAAGCACGGCACGAAGCAGGAGGCTCCGGGGGGGGTCCTGAGGGTCTTCTTCTTTCTCCTTCTCTGTCCCGGGGAGGGAGAGTGAGGATGAGCGGGGATGGGCAAACATCGGGGGCCCCCAAACGGTGTGGTGACCACACCGTGCGGTGAGTCGGTGGGGATTCGGGGTCACCGCACGGTTTTGGGACTCGAGCCCCTCTCCGAGGATGTCTCGGGCGATGGGGGCCTCCAGGGTCCCAAGACCGTGCGGTGACGGACCGTGCGGTGAGGTCTTGGGGGATTTCGAGGTCACCGCACGGTCTGTCACCGCACCGTTTTGGGACTTCAGAAAACATCTCACACTCCTTGCCACCCTCCTTAGCAGGGGTCGGCAGACGCCTCCCCGCCCTACATCCTCGCGTCCGTGGAGGGGCTGCCGAGGCAGAAGCTGTTCGAGGAGTTCCGGGAGGGCCAGACGGTCGATGGCACGGTGGCCATGAAGATCAAAGGCGGCGTGCTGATCGACTTCAACTGCGAGCGGTTCGGATTTCTGCTAGGCTCTCAAGAACGCATTGTCAAGATCCACCTCCCTGCTCTCCTCCCCCTCCTCCTCCTCCTCCTCCTCCTTCTCCTCCTCCTTTTTCTCCTCCTCCTTTTCCTCCTCCTCCTCCTCCTCCTCCTCCTCCTCTTCCTCGTCCTCCTTCTCCTCGGGCACTCCCCTCGACGCCCGCAACTCGTTCTCCTCGTCGCACCAGGTGTGTCCGCAGTTGGGGCGAGCCGGGTCTTTCGCCCGAGGCGTGCTCGGATTTCCCAGCGGTCTATGATCGAACAAGCTTAATCCTTATCCAGCAGGTGATCGTTTTCTTCTTCCTTGTTCTGCCGATCGGCGCAGGCCCTCCCCCCCCCTGGTCGAGTAGATCTCGGCTGTTTTTGGCACCTGTTTCGGGCAGGTCGGGCCCCCCCGACAGGACGCACTGTTGCAAACAGCCGCACTGAGCAGAGGTCCAGAGCCAGACCCCCCCTCTCCTCCCCCTTCCGCCTAATGTCGAAACGCCGAATAAGAAAACGCTCACCAGTCACGCGGGCAGCCTTCAACATTACGCTCTATAGGACTCGCCTGCTATGTTCTTGCAGTCTGTGATCCTACAGCTCGCAAGTACCCAGCACATGCACGGAGGGAGGACGCACGGAGGGAGGACGGATGTATTACAGCATCGCGTTCTCGCATGGGCGTCGGAGCCGTGGTCACTGCTGTCGGGCCTATCTATATTGGCCAGGGTGGAGGGAGGCCTCCTCTCCTACGCATTGTCTTTTTGCAAGTGGCTACGGGGTGCAAGATGTGAGATGCAGTGCGTGCGTGCGTGCGTGCGTGCGTGCGTGCGTGCGTGCGCGCGCGCGCGTGTGTGTGTGTGTGTGTGTGTGTGTGTGTGTGTGTGTGGGTGTCCTTACTCCCCCCCTCTTGCATGGTGGCTCAATTCGCCGAACGCCTGCCCCGTTCCGCTCCGCTTGCCAGCGTGGTGACTCTGCCTGGCCAGGCCGCCGACGCAACATTGTGTTTGTGTGTGTGTGTGTGCGCGTGTGTGTGTGTGTGTGTGTGTGTGTGTGTGCGTGTGTGTGCGTGTGTGTGCGTGTGTGTGTGTGTGTGTGTGTGCGTGTGTGCGTGTGTGCGTGTGTGTGCGTGCGTGTCTCTCTTTCTTTCTCTCTCTCTCTCTCTCCCGCAAGTTGGTCGGCGACGTTCCAGCGGGTGCAGCCGCCCCCGTCGTCGGGTGTCCCGCTCGCCGCCCGCGCCCGGCCTGGCCCACGTGCGGGCGACGTGGTCCCGCGGCCGGGGGCTCGGCCGCGCGCCTTCGCCCTCGCGCCGCCGGCTCGGCCTGCTGCGCCCCGCCGCCGCGGGCGAGGCCGCGGCCGCCGACGGGCCGTGCGCGGCGTGCGCGCTGCAGGGCCGAGGGGCGCCGTCTGACTGCGGAGTGCACCCTGTGGGGGCACCTGCCGCCCCCCGCGCAGCCTCCGCGCGAGGCACCGCTTCCCCGGCTCGTGGTGCAGAGAGCCCACCCGCCCACCCGCACCTCGACGGCAGGCCTCGCTCGGCCGCGGTTCTCGGCGAGCGCACGGGCGAGTGGAGCTCGACCGCCCAGGCGAGTCCGTCCTCCAGGTCGCGAAGTGGCGGTGGCGACGGTGACGAGCGCGACGACGACGACGACCACGGTGATGACAGTGGTGACGACGCTGGTGCCGAGGGTGATTCCAGTGATGAGGAGAGCGACGCGGTGTCGACGGTGACGATGGTGATGATGATGAAGGTGATGGTGATGAGATTGAGGGTGGCAAAGGTGACGCTGGCGATGATCATGACGATGATGCTGGTGATGCTGCGGACGTGCACGCGCGCAGAAATTGGCGAAGGACGGCTTCAAGGATGACAACGATGATGGTGATTCCGACGATGGTGACGATGATGATTATGACGACAGGGGGTGATGTTGATGATGATGATGATGATGATGATGATGATGATGATGATGATGATGATGATGATGATGATGATGCGGATGATAATGCTGCTGGCAAACATGACGCTGACGATAATCACGATTGTGCTGATGAGGATGATGAGAAAATGCTCCCTGTGACATTTCTGTAATGAAACTCTTTGGTTTTCTGATACTTTCGAATACCACTTGAAATTGCAAATGACCCTTCATCTTCGAAATGGGTTCTTCCTCCTCTCTCCTCCCTCCTCCCGTCAGGTTCTCGGAAAGACGTGTTCAAGCTCAGGGATGGAGAGCACGTGGAGGGCATGAGGGTCGAGGACATCAACGCCGAGAGAGGCCAGATCCGCCTATCTTATCCTGACCTGTCCGACCACGTCGCCGGTCGGGAGGAGAGACAGTACGAGAACGCCGGATTTGGTTATTTTCGGCCGCTGGATAAGGTTCGGGTCGGGCACCTCCTCCTCCTCCTCCTCCTCCTCCTTCTCGTCTTCGTCCTCGTCCTCGTCCTCCTCCTCCTCCTTCCTCTCCTCCTCCTCCTCCTCCTCCTCCTCCTCCTCCT